CTAAAATATATATCTCCCAACAGTCACCTTGATGTGGCTGGTGAGAGATATATAAGAAAGACAAATAATAACGTCTAAATCAATTTTAAAACCAATTATAAAGAATTTAAAAGAATTTAAAAGATCAGTCCATGTTTCATGATTAGTAGTACATAAATTATACCATGCATTGCTTGTTACCTTGAATGATCCAGGATAAATCTCCTTTGCAAGTTTGAAAAATGGTTCAGGATTTGCCTATATCAAATATTCAAATTCAAAGAAATGAATATAATTGTCATAATATACTGGATTGTACGTCAATCAGTTAATCAGTCATTTTTCCATCAAAACTGCACAGTTAGGCAGACAACAAAATCACACAGTTAGCCAAACACTTTTTTGTCTAAGTGCATAAAGTTAAATAACTACTTTTTTGTCTAAGTCGAACTGTTAGCTAGGCACTTTGTCGTCTAAATTGACCAAAAACCAGACACCTTTCTGCCTAAGTCAGACAGTTGGTCAGACAAGTCATCTTATTAGGTCAGTTAGGTAAGATACTTTAACGTCTGAGTCAATTAGGAAACCAGACAATATCGTTGTCTAAGTCAAAGAGTCAACTTTGCCGTCTAAGTCATTCAGGCAGCGATGACAATTAATATAATGAACAAGAAAGATTCAAATATAAAATTTTAAAGCAGAAATCCCCTAGGTATGGTAATGGAAAGTTCTATTTTTGAAGTCATATCAATAAGATTCAGAGGTATGCAGTTACACAGCTAGGCCTGCCCTGTGTTTATTTACCTTAAAGTAATCAATCTCAAATACTGCTTGAGGGGAAGGAAGGTTATACTTTTGAAGGTTATCATACAGTCCAGTTCCTGGTGTTCTGAAATCAGGAATACCAGCAGATGTCGACACACCTGCGCCTGTCATTACAACTACATTTTTACCTGAAAAACAAACAATACAGTGAGTCACACCTGATTTGCAGCTTCTTTTATTACTTAATCAGGGAGGGGTATCCATAGACTGTCTTAGACACCTCCTAATGCCTCACAATATCTGACCAATTTATCTTATGATTTTAGAAGGACTAAACACACCCTAATTCAGCCCAGAGAATAGTGGACCACTATTATTTAGAATCATCTTGTACTTCTTTTTAGCTTTCAGAAGTCAGCAAGGGAGTATCCAACATTTTCATTTTGACGGTCCTTACATACCAAATTTTCCCTATGACGTCATATGTCAATATAATGTCATATCAATCTATGGTTTTCACCCTTCCCGCCTCCCTCCCAAGACCATGTTGACACATCCCTAGAACTGATCAGCCAAAAATTGTTGACCACACCACAAGAAATCTCATGCCCTTAACTCTTTTTGCTGGCTTATACACTGCAACATGCCTCTGGGACTCATGAAATAATACAAGAATTATAAAAGCAAAGCTTGTACACCTAACACATTGGGTCTACCACTTTTCTTAATCTTTTTGACTGTTGTTGGGATGATTCATGTGTACACTTCAAGTTGTGGTAATATTAAGTCTTTAGTTGAATAGAGTGTGTTTATTTTTATATTATTATGTACCTCTGGTGCTAAGTTATTTAACTGTGAGTGTAGAGACATCAGCTTTGACCTATGCTTGATGTCCTTATACTGAGAAGAAAGCACTGAGAGAGTAAAGCATCTTGCCTAAGGATCATATGATCATGGTCACTCAATCTGAGAATCCATCCCAGGCCTGTAGACCTTAAGTCCATTGCCTTCAATAACCACACAACCCAGCAAGTCTCTCATGATGATAGAATAGAATAATTTATTATATAGATGATTTCTAACGCGCGCTCTGATTGGCCAAAAAAGTGTGGTTTATGAGAGTATAAACCACGATGGATTTTTGCTTAAGTTTTGCTCAAAATCTAATATAATAATAAAACAAATAAATAAGTCTCAGCCTGTGTTTTATACTCTGATAAATGCATGGTTGGTATTTGAAACACACGAGAAAATGTCACGAAGCACGAGCTGAATCTTATTTATTTGTTAAATGGATCTGCATTGCTCGATCACCTAGACCAGCATGTTATTGATTAACTAACTATTCTTAATAGATTAAACATTGATATTAAAGCCAAAATATACATCACAATTACATTTATCAGTTTTCATGAACTTGGCGATTCCTTCAAAAGTAACCTCTTCAAGTAGTTGCTCTGGTTTTTCTTTTTCTTSCTGTTCACCTTCCACAGAAACATTAAATCTTGCTAAAAGTCTTTGCAACAAGTTCTCTGAAAATATTCAACAAAATGGTGACTGACTCATGCATAGTTAAATGAAAACACTTGTAAAAGTATGAAAAATAGAAAGACCCTTTTGATGCACTCGGTGAGTGAATTCATGTACTCTCTCATCTTAACCTGCACCCATGCAGTATAGCACATGCAAGGCACGTAACAATAGCTGCTATGCGGCTCCACAGCCTTGACCGTCATGCACTTAACCAATAAACCAGGACACAACACACAGAGCTGTTTTTTTTTCCTTTCCGATCAAATGGCTGCAATGGAGGCCTTACTTGCAGTCAGGACAATGATGTCAGAGGATTCTTGACAACACAAAAAGGCAACAAAAAATTAATTCCTTTTGATGTACTGGGTGAATAAATTGTGGCTTTTGGATGTCTAAATATTTCCACCAATTTTAAGATAAAACCCCTTTTGTTATGTACTCTATCATTTATATATTATTTATAGATATATATATATATATATACATCAAATATTTACAGCCTTTTGCAAAAATTATGAGAATTGTTGAAATATTTAAATATCATAATATCAAGTGCATGATCCCGCGCGATGCCCTTAGTACCTTGTCTTCGTTGTTTAGTTTTTTTTGGCGACGGACCGTAGTTCTGAACATTTTCTCGATGTCAACAATGAATTATTCTAGCAAACCCGCGTGTTCCGGACAATATATGGATATGGATATTATGATATTTAGATATTTAGACAATTCTCATAATTTTTGAAAAAGGCTGTATTTGTAAATGAAACAAACAACTATTTATTACCTTCTTTATCCTTCTCGGAAGAACTTTCAGTGTCTGCCTCTCTTGCTGTTTCTCCTTTGGAAACATCTTCTTTTCCTGGAAATAAAAGAATGAAAACACGATTACAAACTTAAACAAATCAACTAAGACTAATATTCTAAGCGGAAGTAGAATCTATATCTGATATACAATTCAGCATGTGCACAGTTTTATGGGTATGAGCCAATTAAGGAGAAATAACTTATTGTCCGGCTACACCATATCCCACATTTTTGTGTTAAAATATCCAGSAACTACTGGACCATCATGATTATTTTCAATCAAATTCTTGTTAAGACCTTTAATTAAACTCAGCATTCACATGTCTGATGCCCCATCCTATAAAATCTAATTAATACTCATTAATGGTTGACCAAAAAGTTAAAAAAAAAGGATGCATTACCCTATGCCAGCAGAAAAAGCCAATCCTTAAGTAAATCTACACAACTATTGCCTGAGCTTGGGATGCCTTTAAAAATGATATTTCATCACGTCTGCAACCATGCTGATGGTATTTCAAGAGCACATTACACCAACATTGTCAAAGTTTAGTAATATATAGCTTTTATATTATACACACATAATATATATTTTGTATAGCTTCCATCACAGGCAACTTTACTCTGTGGGATTCCTGTGTTAAGGCAAAAAAAGCTGCCGGAGGGGAAGAGGGTTAGGAAGGAAGGAAAAGCAGGATGAGTTGGCTACTCCTCTTGTTCATTGTTCCTAATCTCTCAACACCAAGATTTTGAACACAGGAAGACCAAGAAGAGAAAAACGTTAGTTCCTGTTGGAGCAGCCTGTGAAGGAGGCTAATTTTTAGCTTAGATTTTTTGATTTTGAAATATTTGGCATAATTAAGCCCTTTTGCTGCAAACCAAACTATCTATCTAAATGTATCTATCTAATATATCTATATCTATCTAAGTTTAATAGGTGGGCGCCAATGTAACGTTTTTGCTYATTTGCATAAAAGTCAAAAATTGAATTTCAAGACACAAGAAAATCAAGCCTGTATGAAAAGAACTTATAATTGTTAACAATTCCTGCAAATTTGAAGGCAATTGGTTAAATACTTTAAGAGACATCAAAGCGTCGAATTTGCAAGATTTTCTAAAGAAATTGACAGTGGTTGGCATTATTTTGCCAACCATTGAATGTTTTCTATATAGATTTTGTAGTTTTGAAATGCTGATATCTTGAAATGTAAAAAGGTGTTTGCCCTAAAATTTTCAGGTATTGTTAATATAATCTTGAATAAGCCGTTTGCATTATGACGTAACTTTACTACAACCACCTAAGAGCCTTGCGCATTTTCATTGTTATTCAGATTTTTAATCCCCTTGGAGATTAATTGGAACTAATTGCATTGCAAAAGAAAGTTGGCAAAGCATTCTGGTAGTTGTAGTAAATGACGTCATAATGCATATATCGCCTATTATATGAGTTCAGAATGCTTATTGTTTGAATAAATTTTGTTTTGGATGTAAACTAAACTACGTCATCATACCCCCGACCTATAAGCGTCAATAACTGATTTAATGACTGAAATCCTGGATTTTTTATGTCTATATTTTTATGTCTATAATACAATCACATATCTTATGAATGATAGATCCACAGTATAGATCCACTGTAATGCACACCCATAATTACAGAAATGTTGTCCAAGAAGAAGAACTTTTACTATTTAGGAATTAATTAAATTATACAAAAGCAAATGTTCAGCTTCAGTGGTCATCTCTTGTCTTTTAAATAATGTATTCCTAATATTACTAAATCCCTAAATCTTAGGACAACGTTTTCGTAATTAAGTTGACTGGCATATTTTAATCATGAGCTCAAACATGTCGAGTAATGTGACTTTCTAAAACTTAGATATTCTGGAAAGCGGACATTGACAGGCTGCGAGCTTAAGCACTTTTTCCGGCCCATTTAACTTAGCTTACCACAGCATTATACTAATTAACCTATTATAAGCTAATTATTAAGTTAGCTAGATCAGATTTTCTCGATTAGAAAAATTAAGTTTAATACAAATTATGTTAACAATGATTTAAGCAATATTATAAGATCAATATTACCTTTTTCAGCCATAAACTTAGCAACTCATATATGATTAGATAATTCCCTTGAATAGAGTTTTTTTGAATAGCAGGTTCTATTAGTATAATACTTCCTTGTATAAGTGATACTTGTTACCAAGCTCTATATTCTATTTTTCTCCATGGGGACTGGACACTATACACACTCCAAGATGGCGGACGATGAGTTTCKAAAACTTTCTCCTTCTTCTCTCTCCAMATTTACSGATGAAWGCGTCAGAATAACATTATGTGATGGAAAGATTATTAACGGTTTTGTATACACTATTGATCCAGTGTCGTATTGTGTTGTACTGGTCGAAAATAACAACGATTCAAGCTCTACAACGACGAATTTGACATTTGTRATGGGWCACGCGGTGMGACATATCGAGATAAACGAACAAACAACACGTCAAGAAAAAGCGAACTTTATGGAAAAGTTTGTAAATAAAAGTAGTAAAATGTACAGTAAAGAAACTCTGCTTGAGATGAAAGATAAACTGAAAAATTGGATGAGCAAGAATAGGATTCCGGTCATTGAGGATGAAGACAACGGAAGCTTGTGTGTAATGGATGTAGCTTGGATTGACCCTCCATATGATTCTGAATGCTGTCGATGTACTAACGAAATAGTACTTAATAGAGTTAGGAACCTTATAGAAAATATGCCAACATGATATCTGGAGTCTTATGTGAAAAATGCGTGAAACTGTTCTTCTGTACTTGAGATGAAATTCACTACGAATTTTTTTTTATATTTCTAAAATATCCATAGCATTTATGTAAAGAGAATATTAGCTTGGCCAAAATACAACTACCCTGCGTCCCCTTCGAGCAGAGGAATTTTTCCATTCCCTTCTTGGTGGAAAAAGTCCTCTGCTCGCAGGGTAAAAACTGAAAACATGCTTGTAAAATCAGATATCCATAAACTACAGCCAGACAAAGTGCAAAATGCCAACAGACAGAACAACTACAGACAGAACTGAAGTCGGAGCTCATGAGGGGCGATCCATCAGAATTTTGAGGGGTGTGTGTGTGGGGGTGTTTGGAGGGGAGGGGGGGGGCGTTGTTGGAAGATTTTGTCCGTGCAAAACGTTTGGACTTCAGGCGCGCGCCTATTTTGGGTGCTAGAAAAACTTGTTCAATTTTCGCAAATAAGACTTTTGTCAGGGGTACARTTAGAATCTTATCGCTTTATATTTCAAGTTCTGGTGCGCGAGGAACCGGCTTGACGACGGAAGATTCAGGAAGATAACTGCTGGGTTCCCTTACTATGATATACAGGCCACAGTGTTCTGTTGGACTATCAACCCCGGGCAATTTTACATCTTGAGATCGATAAATCGACCATTTTATACTTTTGGTTTGCCGCGAAACCCCCGACATTCATTTCACTTTGCTTCAAATTCATGCACGTGATCATCTAGCCGCAGTAAAAATTGTTGTTTCGGTTCGGTGCACGCGGGCTAGTAGTACCTGATTACATAAGAATTGGATTTACATAACAAAAAATCAGCGACACAATCTGCATTGTAGTATTCATTTTTCCTGGCTTCAATCAATAGATGATACTCGGCTGTTTCACTWCCGTTATAGAAGTCTATACACCCAGTTGCTCTTAGGCCTCGACAGCGTGWTAAATATTCTTTTGAATTTGTAGGAATGTGAGCAATGCAAACATTGATATGAATAGTCTCATTTGTCAAATTCAAAAGAATAATTTACTTTCTATCGAGGCATAAATGCTACTGAAAAGGTGTATTGCTTGACTACAATGCTGTGACATCATTGAGCTGTTTCCATTGCGTTATTGCGCGACTATAATGTCACGCGATTGATCCTGTGACATTCATAAAACATAATATCATGTGATGGTCACTCTTTTGTGACGTCTGTTTATAAACTGAGCCAAAAGTCGATCACGGGATAGCGATTTGCACAGATATAAGTACGTTCTGTTCCACTGATCTAAGTGTTCGCCATGTCGCCTATACTTCTGTTGGTCGTCACTGCGGCTCTTGGAAGCTGTTCTTCTGCTAAAGAATTGGTCGTTTCAGAAGAACTGGTCACAAAAGTTAATATCCTCAATGTCGGGTAAGTTTTAAAAGTATATTTATTAATATGTACTGATAGCTASTRATTACGCGACCCGGGACGATTCCTTCAAATATATTTTTACAGGATCGCTGTAGCCTATAGCAAAAATTAAAAAAAAAGATTGATATAAATGATATGCCAAAAATAATTTTGCGAAGATTCCCGTATGAACTAATTATACCTTCATAAATAATTCATTCCGGTTCAAAAAAATGTCTATATTTTTGTAGTATAATGGCTATTATTCCGATTTACGCAGTAGCCTACACTATGAAAATTCGTAAATTTGGTACAGTACAACCCGGAAATTAAAAGTGATAGTGTCACTTATAAGATCCTTTTATCATAACCAAAGTCGTTTGACTTTAAAGGATTGGGTAGCAACAGAGTCCATTTAATTTTAATTATTAAGATAACTCTACGATTGCTACGCAATCTCCGAGTTAATAACTAATTAGTCGAGCTAGCCATTCTATTCGTTAAGTCGCKTTTGAGAATGACACAGGAAGCCCAAGAGTAAAAGCATGCAAGCATCTTGGTTGCAGTGTACTGCATATGAATCAAACCTCAAAATAGATTCATATGAAAAAACAAAAACAAATTATCTCACCACTGTGCGGGGGACTTGGGACTTGTACACAGGGCCCACGGTATGAAATCGGGCAATACGTAGGGTATTACTTCTTGTTTTTCACATATATCCGCCATTTATTATAGATGGCAAGCAAAGATTTACCCACGGTTCCAGAAAATGACCTTTGAACAAGCAGAGATGATGTTGGGTAGCAATGGCGGATGGCCTAGAGACAATCCACCCCCGGTACATAGAGTACAGCCGGCTGATAATATCCCTACCAATTTTGATGCTCGTGAACAGTGGCCTGGGTCAATTCACCCCATACGTAATCAGGTAAATCAAAAATATGATATAGAAATGAAAGAATAGTGTAGGGCTTAGAAAGAGGCAATTCCAGGAGAAACAGGAATAAATTCGGAAAAATTAATTTTCGACCTCGCTGGGATTCGAACCTACGAACTTCGGATTTATACTACCGATGCTCTGCCAGCTGAGCTACAATGCCAGACTGGGAGCAGGTCGGGGTGAAATAGATGTTATGTAGTATGATATTAATATGAATATGAGGACCGCATGGCACTATGATAGACACGATATAGAAATGAAAGAAAGTTATAGTGCTTAGAAGGAGGCAATTCMGGGAGAAAGACACTTAGGAATAAATTCGGAAMAACTAATTTCCGACCTCGCTCAAATCAAAAATATAACAAAGGACGACAGGAACTGAAATGACTACGCGTGTGCGACTCTTGCGCGCTTCTCTAGCGTGCCCTATTGCGCAGGTGTTTTAACGAATACCCCGGTCACATATATAAGCAAAGAAGTTATTATATTTTTTCTATTATGTCTAGGGTGCATGTGGAAGTTGTTGGGCATTTGGTGCTTCAGGTAACTAGATGACACAGTAAAACTATAATAGATTGCTATAGTCGACGGTCAAAGAATAAAGGGTTTTTGGTTTGAGAGTGATATGAAAAACCATGGAACTTGAAGTCAAGAGCATAGAAGTTTTACGCACTGATCACATAGGAAAATTCATTCTTCATTTTGTTTTAGAAGTTCCGCCGTGCGTATTTGCTTTGCATTAGCGCGCGAGGAGCATGACAGCCTTTATGATTGAATATGTCATTTGAAATATATCATTTAATAGTATGCATGCGCAAATGACAAAAAAAAAAAAGATTTTTGATCAGCTAACAGCTTTTTCTATTCTTCCATTTATTACGTCACCACAACGATTCACTTTCATTCTGGTCAACGTCATGGCCAATCAAAACTAAACAGAGTGTTACGTCACAGCTAATTACTAATTAAAAATTGCATCAACAATTCAATTAGCACGATAATTAAGAAAGTAGTTCGATATGTTCATCTTGTTGTTTTTCTTGAAGCTCAATGCCATCACATGGTTAGGTCACGTTACACATATTCATACACGTCAAAATCAGATGACTAGCAGGAATGTATCACGTGACTTCTTAAACASATCTTATACGGGTCTTATAGAAATCCGACCAACTTTCATCCCGAAAATTCTGATCAATTTCAAACACCATTTGAATCTTCGTTAACGAGAAAACCTTGACGCACCAAGAAATTAAGAGACGAAATTAAATAAAGGTTAGTGCATTAATTAATGTTTTGAGATAAATGCTTTCCGCAGATTTCTTAAATACGTTTCAAACGTTTTCTTTTGGAGGAAATTTGCAGTTTTTCAATGTCCGCAATAATGTAGCCACTTTCTGTATATAATTCACTATGTATTAATATTACGAAGGTTGTATGTGTAAATTTTTGCTGTAGCTAATGCAAAACAACGATTTTTCGAGTCTGATTAGACCGGCTTTTTATCAGGCAAGAAAAAAATACAAACTAAAAACAAAACGAAAAAATATATAAATAAAAACAATATAAAACGAAACAAATCACTACAAAATGATGTCAAGAAAGTCATGTGACCAGATTTTGGCCGCGCAGCAGAGAAAACCAAATATGTTTTTTGTTTAATTTTGAACTCAGTTGGATCATTATACCTCCCCAATCTTTGTCAGAATTCCCTAAATGTTCAATTTAAATTTATTGTCAGCATTTCAGCATGCATACAAACGAGATATACAACATAATTCCTAAAAATACACCTACTTGCAGAAACGTTKTCATAGAAAATAGAACATTTGAATTTAGTAAAAAGGAATTAATTGAAACAAGACAAAAGAAAGCGTTCAGCCTCAGTGATCTTCTTTTGTCTTTTTTTAATTTATTCCTTTTTACTAAATACAAATGTCCTATTTTTTTATGACAACGTTTTCGCAAGTAGGTGTATATGCACAACATAAATAATTTACTGCACAGACTGCAGGACAGTCATTAAATACACAATGATTTGATAAACATTAAACATATGCATTGTTAATCAGCTATTACACTCAAACTTGTTCAGCTTAGATATTTACAATTATAATCAGTACTTATCAAAATATTGATTTATTATCAAAATTATCGAAAAGAAAAGTTCTGATTTATGGAACTGGTCGGCTATTTACAAAGTCTTCTCAGTTCTCTTAACAATACGAGAGCGAATTGTCCCTTTATTAGAGAAGTGAGTTCGTTTTCATCATCTTACGTAAAACAGTTCAGTCAGTCACATGACTCGGTGGCTTTCTACAAAGCTGCGCACAATCCTACCGCAGATTACACCAGAAAATACATGCGCACAATCCTACAGCAGATTGCACCAGAAAATACTTTGAAGCGTCTTAGGAAACGTCTGAGTCTTCTAAGTCGCGATGTTTTGGCACGGGAAGGAATGACGTGGTSTGCTTGTACGTCATTGTCTGAGTTCTCTGGAAGTGATTTCCAGTCACTGTGGACAGCGGTTTGGGTTAATGAATCTAATTGGATGTTGGTGTTGCCTTGGTTGTCATCAGTCATGTTACTTGGCAACAGTGTTTCATCAGTTATTTCATCATTACAAGCGGACAGTTCATCAGCATCTTGACATTGTACAACGAAGTCTCCGATATTTTCCGAGTCCGTATCGAATTGTAGAGTAAGTTCCATAGTTCGCAGGACAGTCGTCGAAGAGATGGAATCCGCTGGATTCACTGAAGGATGAAAAGGAATCTTCAAGCATACGTTCATCTCGCTCTGATGCTGTTGAAATGGTATCATATGTGACTTCGTTAATGTCACTAGTTGCAGACGACGGCGTTAAGAACATGTCGTTCAAACCCATGAATCATCCATGGAGTTATCACAACTCACAACTCAAAGCTTAGATCACTACAAGACAGAAACATGTTCTTTATACCAAAGTCATTAAACGATGAACCAGATGAGCAAAAAGTGTTTGCACTAATGTCTCTATTTGTAGATGACGGCGTCAACATGTCCCTGAAAACATATCCTTCCTCCATTGAGTCACCACTACCCACATTGTCCTCACAGCTAACGGTTACTGTCAGGCGAAAACATCACTTCACTTCACTTAAGTTTTATTGTGCTACCTTTTGAGAACAAAAGATAAATTGCACAGCGCATGAGGTTTGATGCATATTACAATATTATAATATTTGATTATTGTGTTGTTATTAATTTAACAAATTGAATGTGATGATTACTTTGTTCGATAATGTTCTGTGGGATTTCTGTATACCAAGGTCACTGAACGATGAATTAGTTGAAAAAGACCTGTAGCTTTGAGGCTTTCTTCTTCTTCTCTCGCCGATGTACTCCAAGCATAGCTGAGGGTTCTTTAGCTGCATCATCTCGGATGCACTGGCTTTCCCTCTAAGAACGTTCAGATGATATTTGTAAACATGGGAGGCAGCTAATAGGTCGATATCGATCAATCGCCCTTGTTTCTTTAGCAAAAAGAAYAATTTTCTCAATGACTTTGTTGAAATTTTGTGAACAAAGAAAATCCTTCTGTTCAGGAAAGTTCACCGTAAAATCGTAAAGTTCAAATTCTTCATGGTCCTCCATGTATTCAAACTCCATATCTTCGACTGCAAATTGCAGTGGGACAAATGTGATGAAGAATTTTCCGTAATGTGTATTCTCTACAAGTCGTTCGTTGCAGGAAAACTGATTATCGCTTGATTCTTTGTGTCCTTGATCATCCCTTATACCCTTGGTGGTYCTCATCGTCAGTCCATTGATATTAGTTGCCATCAGCATCTATCGCAGAGTGGATCGATAGTTTTGATTCATTCTCATAAACTGTGCCATCAACCTGTATCTTCTTTTGGTAGCAGACGTTAGTGGTGATGGTTACTTCAAACGTCGCGTTATTTCTTTTAAATTTGTTGGTACAAATCGAAGTGGTACTAATGTAATATGTTATGTCTGTCGATGTCACCTCAAAGCTGTTAAAGTTAAGTGGAGAGCTAGGAAGCCCTGAAGATATTGTTTGTGTGTCGCTGAAGGATCCGTTTCCCCCCAGTCGTTACTTAGCCTGAGCGGTTGGAACGGAGTCGTGTACAGGTTGCCAACGTTCTCCAAGTTAGAAAGGTTTACTAAAGCCATTATAGGAATTTTGTTGTGTAGATTTTCGAGAGYTGGATGAATAGTTGCAAAATGTTCACGAACTTGAAAAAARCTAAATCACCGTGGAAACCATCACTGCCTTTATTGCGCGTGGAGRTGAAAAGCGCGCGCTAAAATGACGCAGTTGTTCATGTTTAAACACAGGCAACCCAAGCTAAGCATTTGACTATCTGATTTAGCGATATCTATAATGCATGTAAATATGAATATTTTGAAAGAAAAAAAGAAGTAAAAACATTCGTGTTACGCTTTTAATTCAGAGCTGAAGTTGTTGCCTTTTATATAGTGATCRAATGTGGCATTTTTATCAATGCCAGCAATCATACCTTATAAGACCCTTATTAGGAAGAAGGTGCTCAMTATCTCACTATCTTTCTGGTGATTTCCTTGTAAAACGTACAGATATTATATTAGCTTTTTCTTTCAAATTTACCTCAATTGTAACCTGGCCTTCAAAACCACAGGGAACCCAAGATATTCTAAAGCCATCGATATCCATACATATTTTTACATTTAAGAAATCTGCATGAGTGCGTTCATCTCAAAACAACGATTAATACGCTAACCTTGATAATATCGTCTCTCTCTTGTTGCGCCAAGATTTTCTCATTAACGAAGATTAAAAAATAAGACCTTGAAATTTTCGGGGATGAAATAGTTCCCAGATTTCTATAAGATGTCTTTGCCATATCTAAGAAGTCGCGTGATATTCATTCTTGCTAGTCATCTGACTTAGCCATGCATGGCAGAATTGAGCTTCATAAGAGAGACCTGCACACACCGAGTTAATTCGATTGTTGATGTAATCTTTAATTAGTAATTAACTGGTCTAACTGTGACGTAAGGCTCTAATTTATTTTGATTTGTCAATCATGACGTAAATTAGAATTAAAGTGAATCGGTGTAGTGGCGTAATATTAATGAAAGAATAGGTAGAGTACAAACACTAAAACTGTGCAACATAAATACCACTTAATACTTCTAAATTATGCTAATTCTATTGTTTTCTCTTGTTTAATTAACACTATTTTGTAGTAAATAGGGGAAAGTGTTGCACACATTTTTAAATTAAAATGTTTGTACTCTAAACTGCTAGCTTAAAAAGCACATGTTTTATTTTTTGTCATTTGCGCTTGCATGGTACAAGATCACATATATTTTGTCATTTGATTAAAAAGGTCGTCRTGCTCCGCGCGCGCTAATGTAAAAACAGCAAATGGGACTTAAATGTTATGGTCTTTCTTCACAAATTCCATGCGTTTTCTCTGGCTATCAATAAAGCAGAAGAATATTTTGCTTGATTTTGATGCTAGCAAAAATCAAACCCGTCATTCAWTCCTACTTTTAACTGTTTGTGTTTTAAACAGAAACTTTGTCGGACCGATTTGCAATCGCCTCACAGAATAAAATCAATGTCGTGTTGTCSGCACAACAGCTTGTGGATTGTAATACCAAAAACACGGGGTGTAAAGGAGGCTGGCCCATCCAGGCTTGGAACTACATGAGGGATGTCGGGTAATGTAAAAAGTTGTTAATTAAGACCCGTTTACACTTGCGATTTTTGCAAAGCGATGCTCGGGGCGATCATTGCGCCGCGACCATCGCCTGAGTTTTGAACATGCTTGAAAATTGGCTGCAACTTCACGGCGATTTTCCATCGGGGSTGTTTACACGTGCGATTTGAATAGCAAAGTGGCGATTATAGCAATGCGGAAATCGCAAGTATAAATATGGGCCTTTTTAAAGTTTCAATCTCTGCAGTAGCGAGCCAGAACGTAAGTGTCCAACTAATCGAAGAGATTCAAAACCACGCACGCGCATTACMTCAACATTGACTGTTTTAGCATACGACACTCCTTAAAGTTAGGATCTCCCTGAGGGCGCAACTCCCAGCTCGGGCCTGGAGAATCAATTTTCAGAACAGGGAGGACAATCAGCCTACAAACTCAAAWCAATTGTAGTGCTGGACTTGAATCAAACCAGTAATCAAACCAGCGGCAATTATCCTTCACGGTTTCTCATGTGATTGGAGGAATAAACAATCTCACTCGCGAGAGATCTTTTCAACACTCGAAGATAAAATCCGTATCTGCGCGCCCATGTAATATCCTCTATATCTTACACGCTTTCGAGGGGCTGCACAAATAGGATATCGACTGGAGTATTGATAAACGAGCAAAACTTACACATTGCATTTTATGTTCAGTCTTCTGACAGAGCAATGTTACGGTCCATACTACGCCAAGCAATATCAATGCAGGATAAATGCTAACACCACACAATGTCCTTACGAACCAGGATATCCTGCAAGATTCTACAAAGCTAAAAATGCSTACAGCTTACCAGCAAAAAATGTAAGTCATTCATGCTACATTAACTAACTAATAGCCGCCATCTTGAATACTTAACTCAAAAAATTCTTCTGTAGACTGATTCAATACTAGTCGTGGTTTTGGCTTCTAGATTTTTCGGTTTAACTGGAAAAAAATATCGACAGAGAGGGAACTGGTACCGAAGTATGGAATCAGTCCCATTATTCTTTAGAGTGTTAAAAAAATTGACAGAATTCAGTCAGTGACCTTCATTTTTATCTCATCAATTCCTTTGAGCCATTTGGCAATTTTTTTTTCAGTGGTAATATTAATATATGACTTTGTAGGTTGAAGCTGTTCAGACTGAAATCATGACTTATGGACCAGTGGAAGGTTAGTTCGTAGAATTTTACCAATTTTAACCAGCTATACTATAAAAGATTAGAATAAATTGATGTGTCAACTACTGTAGCTCGCTAAGAAGAAACTATGTTTTGATTGGTTGATGCAATGTCAAACAATTTAATATTTTTTTCACAATCTTGTTATTTGCAGCTGACTTCACGGTGTACCAGGACTTTTTCGCGTACAGAAGTGGTGTCTACATGCACGCTACTGGAAAAGCAGTTGGTGGACACGCTATCAAAATTATCGGGTARGTTGCTTCTTTCGATATTCTAGTTAAATGTGCGGTGCATAAATGATATGAAAATAAGGATCCAAGGAAACAAAAGGATTAACCATTTACGATTTGCAATCTTTGCGCGTGGTTAGGCAACMAAATATCGAAATATGCTTTCTTTGAATTGAGCCATAGTTGGTTGGTTCAAGATGAAAATCTCATGATACTAAAGTACCGCTATTCTATTTCAGTTGGGGGACAGAAGGTAACGAGGATTATTGGGTAAGTGATATGATCTTGCATGATCATCAAAAACTAAGCAAAATCGGAGTCGCCGAACTTAAAATAAAACGATAAGCCCATTAATAGCCGTTTTTTCCTTATCTACAAACTGGACGTAAAGACCGATACTCCATTTAATTTTACCTTCAAAAAGCTCCATCTTGAAAGGTAACCAAGCCTTTGCATCAAAGCGAGACAGAAGTTGAGCTTGCAATGATATGGTAGATACCTGTGAATAAGTGTCTTAGGTGTGAACTAAAGGTATCTATCACTGCAGGTTCAACTCCCGTCTCGCTTTGATGCAAAGGCTTGGTTACCTTTCAAGATGGCGATTGGAACTCATAAAATGGAGTAATAATTCACATGACCATTTTTGTTTTGAACGAACGAGGATAAACTTCCACTTGAAAGCAATGTATAGATATTATCCATTTACAATTGTGCGTGGACCAGTGATGTGGATCGGGGGAAAAAAATAAAAGAAGAAAAAAAAAACGGATCACTCGCCATACAACTACCGAAGATAAAAAATTGAATTTTCTGTTTCTTTCAGCTCTGTGCCAATTCCTGGGGGGGTAACTGGGGAATGAATGGTGAGTATCATCAGATGATTGGTCTATTGCTTTCCAATCGTTGTGCATTGCATGCCGCTTAAAAAAGTCGACATNCTGTCCTCTGATATAAACACGATTGAAGATTGAGAGCAAAAGAGAAGCAATCTACTATTTTTCGATTGCACACCATCACCCACCATGTTCACATTATTGGACGACAAGCACAAGCAGCCATATATATCATTTTATCAAATGTTTTGGTCCGCTATTTCACATCTCTGAAGTCTTTTATAAACACGCTGTTCAGCCAATGAGAGCGCACTTATATCCCAATAATGAAAATATCATAATACAAGCTTTATTTCTGTGTTAGGATTTTTCAAGATCCGTCGAGGTTCCGACGAGTGTGGTATTGAAGACGGYATCACCGCTGGTCAAGCTTTGGTGTAGTGCAGTACACACTACGATTGTTGTATAGATTTGATACATATATTTTAAATAAAAGAATAATTTTGATTAAGTTTTCAAGTCTAATTC